AGACATTATTTTTTATATTAAACTATATCAAAGGAAAGAATACAATTGTTGTCACTGAATATTTCATAAGATTACTTATTCAAAATGTTAATACCTTTTCAATTCTCTCTACGTTATCATGTGTTTATAATGGAAGGATATAATATTAACATTAACTTTTCTTTCACTTCATTAACTGATGAATTAACACCCTTTAAATTTTTAAGATATTCCATAGTCAGTAAACAGTTGAAATGTTTGACCAGAAACGTGAAAAATAAAGCTCTTTTTAAATAGAGAGTAGTTTAATGAGAGTCAATTGTAAACTGCCTTTCCTAGAATACTTGTTTTTATTCAAATAAAATACTTTACATGTTTATTCATAACCAAGAATATTAGTCATGATATATAGTGGTTTAATGGTTAAGCGCTCTCGCGCGATACTGATGGGTCCTGGGTTCGAATCTCGTGATCGTGGATGCGTACTGCTGAGGAGTCCCACAATAGGACGAAACGGCCGTCCAGTGCTTCAAGGTTTACCATGGTTGTTTACTTTCAACTGACTCATGATTTCAACTATTGATATAGAAAAATGTACAGTATAATGTAGATAAAAATGTGATTGAGGAACTGTCAAAATATACGACCGAGGGAACTTAAGTAAAATCAGATCATTTCCAGAAACTTGGTGTTTTCTTTGAACTTTATTCGGTAAGCATCTCAGTCAATTTTATAAACCAATCAAGATATACATCATTGTAATAATTTAATAAACACTGAAACCATATGAAGGCATTCACGTATAACAGGTTATAGTGATTCTATTTACAATGATAATAAAAGTTTGCAGTTACAACTTAATCCCAAAAATGCCATACAAGTAAATGTATTAATCCAAAACCCTTTGTAACTACTGGCATAGATTAGATTGATTTACTCATTATGATTTTTGTTCGATATTAATTCCGTCTTAATTGAATGTGTGATGATTATTCAGTATAGTATTTGTTTTGTTTTCCGTATGATATTTTTAGTCGTGGATGTGCACTGCTGAAGAGTCCCAAAATAGGACGAAACAGCCGTCCAGTACATTCAAGTCTTCTCATGGTGGTCTAGCTTCAATAGACTCATGATTTCAACTATTGGAATTACTACAATCTTCACAAAATCCCTTTTGATATTTTATTCTGTATAACATACGATATTCTTGTATTAAGTTAACATGAACTACACTCAGCATATGATTTGTATTTTTCATATATGTGATTTTATTCTGTTTATTAATCAAAAATGGGTATATGAATCAGTATACAAATGAGTGTATTTCGACTAGACTTGTCATAGTTGCTCGTACCTCTGGCTGTTTGTGGCATATATATTTACAATTTACGACCTTGAACTTCTCGCTCTCGCTCTAGTTAGCAGGCTGGGACACGTTAGAATAATTAGCTTTCTGTCATTTTGTCACAGAATCTTTGTTTCGTTCTCAAATTAGCTGAACTTGTAATCGCTTCAAATATAGCAATATATAGATTCACTAGGTGTTGTTTTACTTGTATCTTCCCATTGTTATTTAAGACTGCAATTGATCAGTCTCCTGTTGGCATATGTGCACCCTGTGCGAATTGTGTCGATACAGCCTTGAGTCATAAGCTTTTTAAGCAGAGATGGATAGTGGCTAGCAGTGGAATTCAGTTTAATGAGCGTTTAGTCAACAATATATATGGCTTGCTTAGTTTAATGAATATTATTGCTAATATTTGAAATTCTATAACAGTTGTTTTTTTCTTTTTTCTCTCCAAGCTTTATCATTTCAACCAGTGAAATTTCTAACATCACAAAATCCCTACTGATTATAATTTATTGTTTCTGGGTTTTTTGTTGTTGTTGTTATTTTGAAATGTCAACTAAGCAAATAGGTATTATCATAAACATCAACAAAATGAAGTGTGGAAAACATTTCATGATCAAATATTCAAAATATCGTAAATCAAACTACAGATCAGGATTAAATTTCAATAGGAAAAAACTATTGAAAACTCACTATTTTAGTTGTTAGATGGATGTGGTTGAATGAATTCTTATAGATTTGAATCCATGATGCGCGTTTCGTCCTATTGGGGATTCGTCAGCTGGATGTACCTGCATCTCAGGGTATATATTTAATTCATAATTAAGTAATTTCTGGTTTGTAAGAAACCCTTTGTTTTTCTTATTTATTATAAACAACTACTTGGTTAAGTCTATAACCAAATTGATTTATAACTGAGATATTTGTAGTATAATACAAATCATTCTATATTGTGTGTTACTGATGTAGACAGATATAAGTAGTATGTATGATCAATCGAAAGTGAAATGTCTGGTGGTAGAAAGTGAAGAAGATTGAAGAGAAAAGAATGAGAATAGAGAATGATTTGTGTGCTAACGAAGGAAATTTCAAGTTTGAGATGATTGATTGACATTTTACAGATGAATTATTTACTGTATAGTTCTCAGATTTTACTAAGAGATTCTGTAATTTTGTGTTGAAATACATTTGGTTGTACCTACTTGTGTGTTCTCATTCACTACAACTTTAACCCACTATTCATTAATTTTTTTAAGAGAACATCTTTACTCCTATATCTTAAGCTTACTATATTTGTAACTAGTTGATTAGGAATTTAAATGTACTGTGTATCATTATAAGTTTGAGATTTCTGTCAGCTGGTTCGAGTCCCGGAGTGAACATCAACCCTGAGATGCAAGTACATCCAACTGACCAGTCCCCAATAGGACGAAAAGCACGTCCTGGATTTCACTGCTAGCCACTATTCACCTCTGCTTAAAAATATTCTTATTTGTTTTATGATCATAAATTTGACCCAGTTATTGTTTGATTAAATTACTATTTTTTTAAGTCCAACTTCTGCGTAGGTGTTAAAATAACTAAGATATTTGTTGCATTCAATGCTAAAGTAAATATTGTAAAACAAAATAACAAAATTATTCATAAACCATCTGCTATATATATATATATATATATATATATATATATATATATATATATATATATATATATATACTCAGTTTAACCAAAGTAACGTTAAAATACCCATATCTTATAAAAGAGAACTACTACATTGGTATAAAGTTATACTTCTGAAAATAGATTCAATTACATATTATAGGTTAATAATGTTTTAATGAATATCTAATTAATACAAAGTCTATCATTGAAGTTCCATTTGATCTGACTCTTATTTCTTTTGAACTAATTTCATCTTTTAATTCTTAATTTGATAATAGATAATTATTGGACCACTGAACCGGCGTCCAACGGTGTTAATGTCTAACTTCAACCAATACACGATATTGAGCCACCGTACATCATTGTCTTCAGTGAGCTGATATCTCACAACAGACTTGGGTGAATTCCACTGGTAAAGGCTTCTTACTAGAACTCCAGGAAATGCCTCTTAAGTCAGTCACTTGTGAGGAGATGATTATTATCACCTCGAGGGGGAAACGTGGATGCGCGCTGCTGAGGAGCACCATCCTGGGACGAAAGGGCCGTCTAGTGCTTCCAGGTTTTACATGGTGGTCTAGCTTCAATTGACTCATGATTTCAACTACTGAAATTACTAAAATCTCCACAAAACCCTTTTTGATAATAGATAATTAGTCATAAGATGTAAATCATTCATAACGTAAAAGAATGATCAAATTATATTAAAATTTAATAAATAATATTTATATACTGAAAAAAATACATTAAGAAATCTATCTAGAAGGAAGCTTTTGCATCAGTAGGCCTGAACACATACAAGAGAAAGAGGAAAATTTGTAGATGCAACACCCTGAACATCAACATAATCACACTCGATGGAAAAACGCTGGAAGAGGTGGAAACTTTTAAGTACCTTGACAATATCATCGATGTAGACGTAAAGGCGAGGATTGGCAAAGCAAGGACAGCATTCCTACAACTGAAGATTATATGAAACTAAAAACAACTCTCAACCAATATCGAATTCAAAATACCTAATACGAACGTCAAGACAGTTTTACTATACGGAGTTGAAACGTGGAGAACAACCACATCCATCGCCAAGAAGGTACAAGTATTTATAAATAATTTTCTACGCAAGATACTCAACATCCATTGGCCAGATACCACCAGCAACAGCCTACTGTTTGAGAGGACAAGCCAGCTTCCAGTTGGGGAGGAAATTCAGAAAAGACATTGGGAATAGATAGGATATACATCGAGGAAATCACCAAACTGCATCTTGGGGCAAACTCTAACTTGAAATCCTGAAAGAAAATGTAAAAGTGGAAGGTCAAAGTATACACTACATTGGGAATTGGAAGCAGACATCAAAAGTTTGATTCGAAACTGGAAAGAACTAGAAAGGATTACCCAGGACAGAGTTGTATAAAGATTGTTGGTTGGCACCTCCACGAGGGCTAATCGTAGCAAGTAAGTAAGTAACTAAGTAATTTATTTGAGAAATTCACAACAGCTGGTCGTTTACCCATTTGTTACGTATTTATAATAAACTATACATTAAACTGTTAATAAAACAAACCAAGTAAAGATGTTCGCCTTTTATACCGGATAATATTTAAGACGTTTTATAATCAGGGTTTAAATTAATCTAATTATATTAGTTTAAACAAATCTGATTATATTATCTCATATTTCTATAATACATTCTTATTGAAAGTAAAACACTATTATCAATGAAGTTGGAATCGATATAAGTTTCTAACTCTAAAAAAATACAGTTTGTTATTACATCGCCTATTATCTTTTAACCAATTTATTTTAACAAATGCATAACAAACGTTTGAAAACATGAAAATGAACGCGAATCCAAAACCCTCAGTCTTGCGAGTAAATACTTAACCTCTAGATCTCTAGATTAAAATTATTGTTTTATATAAACGTTTCATTTAATAATCATTTAATAATATGGCAGCATTGAAAGTCGTCTGTTAAAAATTACCTAGTTTTTCAAAACAGAAAACACTGGTTCGATGAAAAGAACTTCTATTATTGCTTTTAAGAGTTTGATATGTACAGTAACGAAGAAAAAGAACAAAATATGAACTCATACTGTTGTATATGTTTAGGAATATATATTCATGATATAAGTTTTTTCATTGACAGTTTATTATTAAAACATAAAACTAGTGAAATTATATAATGCGAGATAATAAGTATATATTTCATCATAACTGTATACTAAGAAGATTATATTACTACAGTACAAATATATTCATAATTTATTCCATGGAACACGACCAATTGCTAATTGAATAGGAGTATCACCGAAATGTTTCAATTGATTTAATCCATATTGTTGACGTCTTTCACGATTGTAATGCCAAGCACATAATAGTTTTGCACAGGACATACGAAAATTATTATTTAATAATGAATATACCAGTGAATTAAGACAGGCATTGAAATAACCAAGCCATGTTGCAGCGAAAATAGCTTCTTCTGAATAAATAAAACAAAAAATAGATAGAAATATTTAAGAATTTAGTGGGTAGTGTTCGATCTCATTTAAAATATTGGAAAAAATGCATAAAATTCAGTGATAATTTTCGGTTGATTTTTGTTAGAGGTTAGAATCATCATAAAACTCAATATTAAAGCTTATCAATGTCTTGTAAAAGTCATTGACTTATGTAATTTCGGACTGATCTATGTTTATGTTGATACAAAAGTGTAGTTATAATTCGATTTTGTATCGGTTGTTTGAATGTTCCCATTGATTTTTAGGAGCTGTAATCGATCAATCTCTTATTGTAATATGTGCATCCTGTGTGGATTGCTTCAATAGTCCCTTAAATTACAGGTATTATAATACAGAGGTGGATGATGGCTTGCAATGGAATACAGGACGCACGTTTCCAGGATTCCACTGATAACTAATATCCATCTTTGCATATAATATTAGATTCAGTTTAATTTACTCAGAACATAATGTTCACGTTTACATCTAGACTCGAAACCCATGAATTTGAATTTCATCTGACTATCTTTTTTGTAGTAATTTTCTTGATATATCTTTCCAAATTATAAAAACACATAGTGTGAATTTTTATTAAATTCAAGGGAGTTCGTAAACAAGTTATAAACTCGAAATATAGCCATTAATCATTCATATAACGTAATAGATTATGCTAATGTAATAATATTTAATGTCTTTCAGAGTTTTATTTATTATTGGTACATCATTAAATCTATCTAGTAACCATTTAGCTTTTGTTACTATCTTGAACATAATACTCGTAAGAAAGTGTACGTCATTCACTTGTCATTTTGATATAAATAATGACTAGGTATAAATTTATGAAACGAATTCTTATGTTTTTATTAACTTTGAAGTTACGTTTTACCGAGAAAGCTTTCAATAGGCATGAATGATCATCTACCATAAAACTCTTTGATGTAAACTAAAAACTTATAATCTTTTATTGTTATACATAATCTAATGGATATTTTGGAACTTCTCTAAAACTGATTACATTTGTTCGAGTTTGATTCTGGTCGTCGTTGATGCTTAAGAATTTAATAGACCCGTCTCTTTTAAGGGTAGATTGTTTAAACATTGCTTTCAGGTTATACGTGTTATTTAGACAGATTTTGATAGTAGCTAAAAAGTTGAATTTAAGATGCTCGTTTACTTCCTTATGGGACTCATCAGCTAGATTTTATTAGACACTAGTGTTTACGTTGATAAATAGATTCGGACCCTATGATCTTGGGTTTCGTTTGACTATCATTTCTGTGATAATTTTCTTGGTTTCTGAGGAAACTGACTGTTATATCTAGAGCTTAGATTCTTAATATAACGCGCATAACTTGAGCACTCGAACGCTAGGACCCACCAAGTCCCAAATGAGAAGAAATAAAACAAGTGAAAGGAATGCTATTCCAAACAGTATCAATTATGGTAAAAAAACTGTCAGGTATTTATAAATTTTAGTAAAACCGAAATCAATATCATAGTCATTTAATCCGAGTATAATGGGTTTTAGCGTTTGTCCAATAGATAAGCTACACGTAGGGATTTTGGAATATTCTTCCAAAAGATGATTGGATTGAATATCTTCTACTGTTTTTGAGTTTCTTAGATCTTTCTCTAGTTCACCCGTGAGCCGTCACCACACTGACTGTAACATATCATTAAAAGTTGATAAATACCGTCTATCACTGTAATTATTCTGTTGGATTAGATTACCACTACTACTGAAACAATAGTAATATTAAGTTTGATTGATAAATAATTTAAAACAAATTTGACTCACAGTATAAAATTAATGATATGAAATCAGATAACATCTAATTATTCTGTTCTTTTTAAGATAAATAACAAACTTAGTTTTAACAGCTGTCCATGATAATAATAAAGTTATGGATATAAAAACCATCATTAGTTGTGACTATTTCACCACAGGTAAATCAATTAAATAAACAATAAATCAGATAGGGTTTTGTGGAGATTGTAGTAATTTAATAAGTGAATTCATTATTGATTTGAAGCTAGACCACCATGAAAAATCTGAGAGCATTGGACGACCGTCTCATCCTAGTATGAGACTCCTGAGCATTGTCCATTCATGACCCCGCCCCGCGAGATTCGAACCGAGGACCTATCAGTAACTCTCTCAAGACAATGGTGGACAGTGGCGCAATTTTATGGGTTGGTTGAAGTTAGACATTGACACTGTTGGATGCCGACCGGCTCAGTGGTCAAAATGTCAGGCGTTCTCGCAAGCGACTGATAAGTCTTTGGTTCGAATCTCTTGGGGGGTGATCATGGATGTGAACTGCTAAAGAGTTTCATACTAGGACGAAACAGCCGTCCAATGCTCCAGGTTTTCCATTGTGGTCTAGCTTAAACTGACCCATGACTTCAATTCTTAAATAATAATTCATTGTAGTTTTATGTTCAAATATATTCCATCAAAATATAATACAACTATATAATTTATTTATATGATTATATAATATATAAATTAATGAGTTGATTGTTCTCAGTAATTAAGAACAAAATCAGTCTATAGTTGAATAAACACAATAAAACTCTACAATAAGCCTAAGGTACATCGTTTCACTGAATAAACCAAATGTATGATTTTTGTAGTATACCTGCCTAAATGAAATTGCAGCGCTTTTTAAACACACGGTACTCGTCAATACCAATATAATAAGGTATGTAAGTGTAGTGATCGGTATTCGATGTAATCCTCAATCTTCGTAAACAGTTCATCCTCATAACCGCGAACATGCCAGTCCGCGAGTCAAAATGAATAGTATTAAAATGTACTTATATATATACATAGGGAAATGAGGAAATCATCGAATCAATTAAACGACTAACATTAAAGCTAACAAAATGAATATGTGCATAGACAGTAAGCAATCCTCAAGCATACATATTTAAACAAGTGCAGCAATAATAAGTTGTTATTGTACGACTGACTCTATCCGTTCAATTAGTTAACAAAAAGCCTTATGAAAATTAAATGTGAACAAACACAATCGCATGTGAGCTACTATATAAGTATTCACTCCTTTCTATGAGTGAGTTATTGAAACAAGATTTATTTATTAATTCTTTTTGTCTGTCAATACTTTACATTTAAGACAACAAACAAACAAAAAAAGAGAATTTTGTTTTGTAATTCCTGTTAGTAACTTAACAGTATTATTGTCATCAGTCTTTAATATAAACCAGAAAACACTTTTTTCTCATTCAAAATATTGTAAAAGTTGTCATCTAACAAACAAACAAAATAATCAGTATGGTGGCTGTGGAGATTATTAAATTTTTGATTGGGATCATGAACCGATTGATGTTAGACCACCGTTGGAACCATGGAAGCACTGGACGCCGTCTCGTCCTAGTACAGGACTCCTCAGCAGTGCGCATCCACGATCCCGCTATCGGGATCCGAACCAAGGGCCTTCAGTCTCGCGCGCGAACGCTTAACCTACTGAACCATTGAGCCAGAATCCAATGGTGTTGGTGTCTAACACCAACCAATCCACGAAACTGCGCGACCATCTTCCATTGTACTGAGGTAGATAAAGTCTGTTTACACTTATTCAGCAACAAACTCTTAAGTCACTATCGAAATTCTTTTCATTTACCTAAACTTATTTAATCATTATTAACTCTAAAAATAATAATCCGATACGACTTTTAAAAAAAACTGTGATAGTTAAAGTAAATTTATTGATGATATGATATTTATCTTTTGATTAATCCTTTCTGTTATGAACTATGAAAGCCATCATTCAGAAGATACAAGTGTTTATTAACAACCGTCTACGCAAAATACTTCGGATACTTTGGCCAGACACTATCAGCAACAACCTATTGTGGGAGAGAACAAACTAGATTCCAATAGAGGAAGAAATCAGGAAGAAGCGCTGGATGTAGACAGGACACACACTGAGGAAAGCACGCAAACTGCGTCACAAGGCAATCCCTCACATGGGATCCTCAAGGCTAAAGAAAGGAGAGTCGGAAGATCGAACAACACATTACATTGATAAATAGAGACAGCTATGAGTGAACAACAATTGTATAGAATTAGAAAGGAAAACCCATTACAGAGTGGGTTTAAGAGTGCTGGTCGGTGGCCTATGCTTTATTGGGAGTAACAGGCGTAAGTAAGTAAGTAAATTAATGTTATGAAAAGAGAAAAATTTCATCAAAAAGTATAAATTTCTGGGAAAAAATTATCCTTCATTTTAATATTTTATTAAACTTCATTAGATATTATTGAATAAACAGAATGTTCATAGAAAAACAACAAATATTTACTTCATTTAAACAATCATTAAAAAATCAGCTTACACACTATTCATCAATGTGTACTCAATACTTGAACATAGAAATTTCAATTTGATACTTAAATACTTAACATATAAACCATCAAGATTCATAGTAAACAAAAGAAAAAGGTAATACAATCCTAAAAACCAAGATAGATATAAACAAATATAAAAACTTTTTTTCATTATCATGGGAACCAATGAATAGCAATTTCATTTAGAAATTATTAAATAATTTTAAAAGATTATCATAACTTAGTTTATTTCGAATTAAATTGTAGCATAAACGTCATTCACTGTATTCAACTATATTTTGTTCGGTAAAATCTTATTGAGAAAAACAGACTTATCTCGCTTCATGAGATTCGAACCAAGGACCTATCGATTTAGCGCGCGAACGCTCAACCTCTAGATAACTGTTAGATCCTAGGTTCAAATCTCGCGAGCTGGGAAGGTGGATGCGTACTACTGAGGAGTTCCATAATAGGACGAAACGACCGTCCAGTGTTTCCAGGCTTTTTATATTGGTCTAGCTTCAAATGACTAATGAATCCAACTATTAAATTACATCTAAATATACAATGCTCATGTTGGACATATATATGTACATGTTAGTTACAATATATGTATATTTTTATCAATCG